GGTGGGCTGGGTGGGCTCTTGGGGTCCCTTCCCACCCAAAACATTCTGTGAATCTATGAAAAGAAAGGGAGCAACCCAGCGCAGGGCTGCTGAAGAGACCAGGCAAGCTCCCGAGAGGCTTGGGGGAGCCCATGCTGCTTCCCTGGCAGCGCTCCCTTGCTATCTGCCTTTCCAAGAAGGGAGGAGGAGGAAGACAACAGCTCACTCCGGAGTCTCGGGCAATTGCACCATCAGGGATTTGCCCCAAAGAACAGCAGCTGCTCCCAGGCAGCAAGGGGGGAATTTCCCCGGCTGAGGTGGGGTCAGGCACTCTCGGTGTCCCCATTCCCACAGCACCTGATGTTGCTGGTTCCCCAATGCCTCGCACGTGCTCCTCAGGCTGGGAGAGGGGGCAGGGAAGGGAGGTGAGCTGAGCAACAGAAGGGGTGTGGAGATAACCCCGCCGTCTCCACCTCTTTCAGCCTGGGGGAATCTAAAACCCAGGGAAGACCCACACCCTAAGTTTTTTAACACCCTCCCAAGCCAGGAGACGGGGGCAGGATCTTTCCATCCTCTCTGCAGAAGAGGAAACCACAGCACAGTAAGGCAGCAGGATGTCAGGCATGATGGCAGAAGCAGGGATCGGCGACCTGGTCTTCCAGCACCTCCTGTACTCTGTCTTCATCCCCGATGCCAGACACTCAGCAGGATGGCCCAGGAACGGCGTGCCAGGCTGGGATCCCCCAGCCTTGGCCTTGAGCACTGGGAAAGGCTCTGCAAGCGGGGAACCCCCTGCGCTGCCGCTCGCCCTTCTGCCACGTGCCGGGGGGGAGCAGGACCCGAGGGAGGGAGCGGGCGGGCTGGGGAAGCCCCTGCAGCCCTCACGTGCCCGGGCGCCTGGGGTAGTGCTCAGGCTCCCGATGCTGCGGGGGAGCGGGGTTGGGTTAGATCGCATGAGACCTCGGGCGCCCGCAGCAAGAACAAATGTTTATTAGAGTGCATGTTAACTCTCCTCACCCCACACTTACTCTGAGGGCGTTCGGGGGGTGCCAGAGGATGCTCCATCCACCGCACAGTGTGAAAAGGAGTCCTCTCCTGCTCCTTCCCTGGGTGAGCTGGAGAGCCCCACGAGTCAGGCCCATGGCAGGGAGGGGAAATTCAGTCCTGCTGCAGGGCACAAACACTAAAAAAGAAAGGCCTCTCCTGTGTAGTGTTCATAGTGCCACCTTCCGTGCCAGGCTGGGATCCCCTTGAGCACCGGGAAAGGCTCTGCAAGCGGGGAACCCCCTGCGCTGCCGCTCGCCCTTCTGCCACGTGCCGGGGGGAGCAGGACCCGAGGGAGGGAGCGGGCGGGCTGGGGAAGCCCCTGCAGCCCTCACGTGCCCGGGCGCCTGGGGTAGTGCTCAGGCTCCCGATGCTGCGGGGGAGCGGGGTTGGGTTAGATCGCATGAGACCTCGGGCGCCCGCAGCAAGAACAAATGTTTATTAGAGTGCATGTTAACTCTCCTCACCCCACACTTACTCTGAGGGCGTTCGGGGGGTGCCAGAGGATGCTCCATCCACCGCACAGTGTGAAAAGGAGTCCTCTCCTGCTCCTTCCCTGGGTGAGCTGGAGAGCCCCACGAGTCAGGCCCATGGCAGGGAGGGGAAATTCAGTCCTGCTGCAGGGCACAAACACTAAAAAAGAAAGGCCTCTCCTGTGTAGTGTTCATAGTGCCACCTTCCTCCCTCCGAGAAGGCAGCCTGAGGCCAACGAAACTTTTTCAGTGGGGGAAAGGGAGGATAACATCTCCCAAAGTGGCTCTGCTCCCACTGAACTGGAGGCAGGCAAGGTCCCAGCGGGCAGCAGGGCAACAGCGCAGAACGAGGAGGCAGCCTGCCGGGCTAAAGGAGTCCAGCCGCTCATTCAGAGCACACAACAGGCTTCCCCGAGATCTTCAGGTCATCGAAGGGCAGCAAGGCGAGGAGCTGCAAAGGCCAAAGGTGCGGAGGGGTAAGGATCCAGGGTCGTGTCTCCACCAGGGCTGGGGCAGGGGCTCAGAACTGCCCCCCCTCCCAGCCTTGCAGCCTCCCACCTCCCTGGGGAAGTGCCAAGAAACCCTGGCTGGGCTTTCCCTAGGGCTCGAGGCAAGAGGCAGTCACCCCATGCACCCCCAGAGCCAACGCCTGCACCCTACAGGGGAGGATGGGCACGACTAGAAACTCCCCCTAGGAGCTCCCCCTCAAATCATCCAACTCCTGCACCCCCCCAAGACTCTTGCAGAGCCACAGGCCACCCCCAGCACAGACTCACGTCATCGTTGCCATCAGCCAGGTCCTGGGCTGTCTCATTCTCCATGTTCCTCAGCAGGGTGTCGGCCCCGGAGTGCGAGAGGATGGCGGCGATGGCAGCATCCTTGCGGCCCACGGCCAGGTGGAGCGGGGTGCACCCGTTGTACATCTGGGCATCCACGAACGCCCCGTTGCGCAACAGGAACTGGACAGCCCTGCGGTTGTGGCACTCCACGGCCAGGTGCAATGGGGTCTTCCCGCTCGTGCCCTCCTGCAACCCACAGACCACAAGGGCGTGGGTGCGGGGTCCCCTCAGATGGGCCCTGCAGCACCCACCCGCACCCCCTTGATAGGGTGCAGAAGGGGTGTCCCCACCCCGACTGCTGTCACGGCACCCAATGGCCCCTCAAGGACTTTTTCTCCCTGTTCCCTCAAAATTCAGTGCCTCCAAGCCCTGTCCTGAGGCCAAAGGGAGTGCCACGCACTGTGCCCAGCCTTACCCAAACATCACACCATGCCCAGCCTTACCCGCACGTCAATGTTGGCGCCACTCTCCAGCAGCAGAGACATCATTGGGATGTTCCCCTTCAAGGTGCTGATGTGCAGACAGGCCAAGCCTGGGAAGGGGGGGCAGGAGAGAGAGCCACATTCAGCCTGGACCACCCCGAGGTCCCTGCATACACAACGCATGGTCTCCACCCCAACTGTGTATGCTAAGGCACATGGAGGCCAGGGAGATAATTCGAGATAGCCAGCATGGCTTCACCAAGGGCAAGTCCTGCCTGACGAACCTACTAACTTTCTATGATGTGTGACAACAACAGTGGACAAAGGAAAACCAATGGACATCATCTATCTGGACTTCTGCAAAGCCTTTGACATGGTCCCCCACAACATCCTTCTCTCTAAATTGGAGAGCTGTGGATTTGATGGGTGGACTGTTTGGTGGATAAGGAACTGGCTGGATGGTCGCGTCCAGAGGGTAGTGGTCAATGGCTCGATGTCCGGATGGAGACCAGAGATGAGTGGTGTCCCTCAGGGGGTCCGTACTGGGACCGGTGCTGTTTAACGTTTTCATCAATGACTTACTTAGACAGCCAGATTGAGTGCACCCTCAGTAGTTTGCGGATGACATCAAGCTGAGTGGTGCGGTTGACACACCAGAAGGATGGGATGTCATCCAGAGAGACCTGGACAGGCTGGAGAGGTGGGCCTGTG